TGAAACTGGTGAGAAGGAAGGTCAAAGTCAGGCTATCCATCTTCGTCAGATAGTTTTGCATTTCTATACTAGAGCTTATTCTATGAAAATAAAAAGTAGTGGAAAACCCATGCTCCTGAATACAATATTTAAGCTGAATTATTAAATTACTTCAAATCCTAATTGATGGTTTTACTTTTTAGTAATGCAATACGAATGCCAAATGATACGGATTTGTCGAAGATTTGAGTTAAATGTAGCACATGATATTTTTGCAAAATAGAATGATTGAATCATGGATAAAATATATCTAAATGTAATCATTTCTAATATTTTAAATTCAATTTAATATCAACTAGTTGATCCTGCCAAGGGCACCTCTTTGCTAAGGTTTCTCCCTTCTTTCCTCCTATCTCTTTCTCTGTTTGCATGCACTCATTTTGGGAGGAAAATTCAGAAAATTGCCCATTACATCAACATTCCCATGATTCTGTTGGGAGAACTGGAGGAGATAGCCTGTAGTTAATTATTAATAGCTCTTTTATCATTCTCCTAGTTTTGGCAAATACCTAATGGTGTTCCTTTCCAAGCCAACTCCAAAAGCCTAAAAGTCCTGGGCCCAATTTATAAGAATCTTTTGCTCTCTGGACAGACACTTTTGAAATGTATAGTTAAGTCAGCTGGAGTAACTCAGATGATAAGTTTTCAGGTGAGGTTTTTATTTGCAGATGGATTCAGATGAAGTATAATTACTTCTTTCTTTTTTGAGGCAGGGTCTCATTATGTAACCTTAGCTGTCCTTGAACTCACTATGTAGACCATGCTGGCCTCAAACTCACAGAGATATGCCTACCTTATTAACTCCAGATGCTGCATATAAGGTGTGAATCACCACTCCCAGCTTATAATTATACAATTTATTATAAATTGTGTTCAATCATAGTGTTCACTAATTTCTTATAAGAAAATAAAAGTCCCAAGTATTGATTCCAAAATTGTTATAACTAGATCTGTTGGATATTTCACATTGACAATTTTACCTAGTGTTTTTTAAATATGCCCCACTGTGTGCATTGTTAAATTGCAAATAAAGCATTTAAAAAGAATTTTGTCATAATCAGTAGCAACATGATAAATATGTAGATTGCATTTATAATCCTTTATATGTCTTAACACTCAGTATCAAAAACTATTGGTAACTATGGGATTTCATTATCAATCTCCTGATCATCCAGGTTAGAGACAAGCAGTGTCACAGTTGATGGCCTGGAGTGAGATTATAGTTTCTTAACACTAATAATCACATACTGATAACTTTAAAACACCACTATTAATCCCAAACACAGCAGCAGCTATTGCAGTGAGCTAGAAACAGAGCTATGCATGGCCCCTTAGCCTAGAGTTAAGGGCATTTGTTTCCCTGTGTTTGCTTGGATTTTCCAAACTAGCTGAGGGTTCTTGATTCCACAGTGCTATTGTGTGGATCAAGTGATGCCTGGTCACAAAAATACCCTGGAGACTGACTCCCCTGGCGTCCAGGTTCTGAGTGTGGTCAGGCATTCCACATGCCTAACCGATGAGCTGTCTTTGCCATGATTAGAGACTTCCTTCTCAGGTTTTTGTAACCCCCAAGGAAAAGTAAAATGGAAAAAGACATTTTAAAAAAGCAGAAGATATAGGAAAATGCATGCAGAAATCTTGGTTATAAATTTCAAAGATCAGGTGTATCTTTCTAGTCTTTTAAGAAGATATTCTTGCCCACACAAGAATTTTTATAATACATGCAGAAAATTGCAAACATCTGTCATATTGACTTCTTTAGTGTGAACCATAACCAGACATTTCTAATTATACCTTTGCTATGCACACACGGGATACTCCAGTTTTAGTCTCCTTTTGTGTGGTTTATTGTATTACGCAACACAGGACTGAGAGAAAAGAAATGACCTTGCAAAACAGATTCTGTAGAACCTTTCCCCCTCTTTGCCTAGTCTCTGATTATGTCTTTAAGAGTGAAAATTTTAGGTAGCATACTCATTTTACGGCAGTGCCCTTCTAAAGCTTCGGATATCCTTGGCATCCTGAGACTAAGGGAGCACAGCTCCCAATGTGGCTGAGTCTCACACTGCTGCTGGGTGAGGCTGGGGTGCAGAGTCCTTGCTGCGCCTGGGATCCCGTGCTGTGCCTGGATAAATGTACCCGCTAGGCAGGATGTAAAGTCTCTCAGGGTCTGCCTCAGGAATCCATCCCTTGAAGGATAACCGGACTGGGCACTTTGTAGTCCAGGGCTCCTCCTTATCTCTGGCCCCAGGATTTTACATTTATTTCAC